AGTAAGTGTCAGAGAGAAAAACTCTTTACCACTTTCTCTTATCTTTCAATTTCAATTTTTAAGAACTACTTTAACGTTGTCAGAACGCAGTGCAAGTTCGAATGATAAACAAACGAGTAAAGGGTAACATATTTTCGTTCCATTTTCGATATCGTTTCATCACACATTTAACCCTAATAACACAAACAATAATAAAAAAAGGTAGGGTGAAAGGCGATAAGCAAGAATGTTTCACCCGGGTACTAGAATTTTTTTTCCTAAAAATAATTTCGTTCACAGAATGACTAAATTTGGCGGTCATCTCCAAATCTGATTTATGACTTTTTTGCATTTAATATACTATCTCTATTCGCAATTTATTTTTTGGTTGAAAATTTAACAACTCCGGTTTAGTGTATTAGTGTTTTTTTTTTTCGTTTTTCTTGCCCGTTTTTTTTGGCTTAAAATTTTTGTCTTTTATTATAGCGGCCTCACGGCCTCAATTTGAGTCGCTGGATGCGGAAAAGAAGGTTTATGAAGTGTGTCTACGCAGGTATTGTCCGCTGTGTTACCGCTTGTTGCAGTTTTAATTAGATGCTCTCAATTAGCATAAAATTGTCCAGCTTGGCATCTTTTCTACATTGAAGTTCATTTCAGACAAAATCGAGAAAAACGGAAGTTTTTAGTAATTTTTTTTCCTTTTTCAAAAAAATCCAAATGAGAAGCTTAATTTCGCTTCTGTGTATCAGTATGACAACGCTTAATTGAGAAAAATTGACACTCAAGTGTGAGTGGAAAAGAGTCAAAAATTGTCTGTTCGTTTAGGAGGTAGTGGAGTTACTTCACGATCATCCAGAATACGAAGAAAGGTCGAAGCACTTCTCGGTTCCCGCCCTTTCCAATCTCTACTACAACGAGCAACACTGTCCGGAGAGCCTGGACTATACTATAGCAGTGCCTGGAAAGACTCCATTTGCTAGAAGACACATCCAATGCAAGCAATGCCAAGCTCTTAGATGCACATGTGCGAACGAGAATCCACAAGAGAAGATTGGCTCTTGTGAGGCTGCTAATGAAACTTTGAGGGAGAAGTTGATTCGTCCGGATGAAATCGAAGGCGAACCGGAGTATGACAACGAAAGACCAAGACATGTTCACTTTAATGAAGGATGCTGCTGAGACCCTATGGAGTTTAATGAGAAACTTTCTTCTAGTTTCGTTTAGTCTTATATGGCTATTATAGAAAAAAATAAAGAAAAACAAAAAGACTGGCTTTATCTAAGATTTTGATAATTAAGTCGAATATTAACTATTAAATAATTTTTCGATCATTTTCTGGTGCTTTATGAAATACGGTGCTATTTAAAACTAAGACAATTTGAGAATAATAAATATCAAGCGAAAATAATATTCAAATGCACTAAAAATATATATCGGGATATTTTTATAATCAGTGACTAAGATTAGTATTGCAAGTTCAAATCAATAACATTTTGTCTGATAAAAAGTGAACGAAGAGGTAGGGAGAATTTGTCGTCTAGAGACATCTGTTCTTCCAGTCCAAGAACCAATAACTTTTAAATAAATGATTAGTTCTTTAATATGACCAAAACTAACACCTGACCGTTAAAGATCAAACCCCAGTTTTACACCGAATTATTTTTCAGATTTTTGAACAACGCAATTGCTAATTGTGCAAATGGCGAAATGCTTTGTAGGGAACAAATCTGCTGATAATAGTGCAATGGATCGAATTGAACAATGAAAGAAACTTTGTTTGTGGCAGTGATCAAAATTAAGTGTTTTTATTTTTTTTAATTTTAAGGAAAAGTTTAAACTGTTGTTCAAGGAAAAATATATATTGTTCTTTGAGTTTACTGCAATCTTTCAGTTTATTTCAAATTCAATCGTCAAATGGAAGGAAAATTACGCTCTTCAACAACAAAAAGTCGAAAGAACGTAGTCTTGGAATGGATTTTAGTTTTTAAATTCCATCAAGCTAAAAAAAACTTTTTGATCTAATTTTCTTAAATGGTTTAGCTTATTACATTTCCGAGAGCCACGAATTTTGTTTTTCCGGCAACAAATTCAACTTGCTTTATTATTGAATCGATGCCAATTCCCTTCAGTAGAGAGGTAACCTCAGACTTAAGGGTTGCATTTGGACCTTAAGTTGTGGGCTGCGAGTCCCGGTCGGAACTGGTTTTCTTCAGTATATAAGAAAACGAAGTTGAGAAACGTTTTCTTTGATTTATTTTTCTATTATAACGGTTTCAGCATATGTTCTGTCGGCTTAGTTCTTTTTTAGTGTTATTCGAAGGTCAAAAATTGATTATTTTATTTTAAAAAATCTTCTAAGCTCACAATTTTTTTATTTTTTTTGAAAACAATTTCTTTTTCGACTGTTGGTGTCTACCCATGATTTTTCAGCTCAGTGGCCCCTCATTAAATGATGAAGCTTATTGAAAGCTGAAGGTTATGTTTTTTTTCGGTTTTTTTATGCTGGTGGTATTGATAAAAAATAATTAAGATATCTGAACAAAGTATAAATTAAGCAAAACACTTAGTTCTTGAAACAAAACTAATTAAGTATTCGAAAAATTTGATGAAAATTTACCCTGTCGTTTTCTTATATCGTCATTTTGCAGTGCCTTGAAAAAGGTTTTTAATCAATTTTTGGTTGATTTAACTAAAAAGCAGTTGATGATTTTGTTTTTCAAAAGTTCGCCCGTCTCACAAGAAGCTAGAATTCAATATATGTTGCCAAGAGTTGATTTTCTCTTAAGAATATTTTTTTAATAGTATTTTGGAATCATAGCTTAAATTGCAACCTAGTTAACTGCTTTTTGGTTCATTCAGAAGCCAAATAATTTATCAACAGTAATTAATAAACTAACTAGTTTGACACTTAATTACCGAAATTTTAAATATTTAACCATTGCTATAACTTAGGGTAGTGCAATCGGAAAGTAAATGTTTTTTCCTGTGAATAACTTTGTTCACAGGACTCATCTGGAGTTTGGGCTAATATCTAGTTTCATAATTATTTCAAATTTTTTAGCGTTCCCTGACCACTTAGCCTGTAGATAACAAATACGCCTGGGACGTCAAAGGTCCTGGGTTTGAATCTCAAGACGACGTATTTTTTTTCAAACGGAAAAAGTTCTGTTTTAAATAAAATTGCCGTCGAATTATTTTTCGAGTTTGTTTCCACATCTTAAAAGCTTTTTTTGTGCACGCATTTTTCTTAATTTTTGCTTTTAGTGTTTGATTTGCTCCTGCGATTCGTAATTTTACTTACCTTGACTTCGTTTTTTCTTTTATTTTTTGTTTTGCTCAATCACTTCATGGGCCTTAATTTAATCGGCTTAGTTACCTTATTTTGTTAGTTTCAGAGGAATCCCCTTGAGATCGCACAAACTGCTAAAAGTTTTAAAATAAAATTTTTAGTTCAAAGTTTTGCACAACAATTTTGTTCCCGGTTCTACTACAATTTACCCAATTTCTGTAGACTAAGTTGCCTCTCAGTTTTTGATTTTGAATTTTCACTAAACGCCGTCGATTTTATTGTTTGTTTCGCTGAAAAACTATTTTGACTTTTTTATTGGCTTAGTAACTACATTGTGAGTTTCCAAGGAAAAAATTTCTTACGCTCACCTCTGCCCTTTTTAAGTTTTATATATTTTTACCGCTTTGTTGGTTGAAATTTCTTTTTTTAGTTTTTTTTTGGTTTAAAAGGATTAAATCTCTTTTTTAGTTACGATGACAAGTTTCAAGGCTGGTCTAGCTTAAGTGACTAGTACTCTTTTAAGCTTAATCGAGCGCGCGATGCCTTCTAAGCCGGTAAAAATTTCCAACATTCAACTTATTGGCCAGCTATTTTGTGGTGTAAATTAAGTGGTTAGGTGTCAGCGTTTGTGTTGCTGCTGACATGTATTTGTAGGCTCAAGTTAGATTTTGCATCGGTCCCTGATACAAAAGAGTCGAAGACCTCGCTTGACACTCGAACCGATATTGATTACTAACGCTCTCTCCTAGATCCAAAAAAGAAAATTAGAGACTGCTTCAACCGATTTCAAAAATTCGAAGAGGAAGGGAGTTTAGCCCGGTGCAGAATGAAATCGGTTGAAGCTAAACTCCCTTCCTCTTCGAATTTTTGAACTAAGGCCACACAAAAGATATTCATGGCTTATGTAATAATTAGAAGTGCGGTAATTTCTGACCAATTTTGTTATCTTCGTAATTACACAGGCAAAGCTTGTGTTATAGTATGAGAGCTATCTTTTTTTCCAAGCTATGTCGCAAATTTTTGTTGTGACGCAAATATTGTTGCGACAATATGTGTTCCTTTTGATCAATAACCAGCCATAAAGTACAGCCAATGCTAAGGATATTAACACAGACTATTATATACAAATAACACTTTAGCCTCAAGGTATCATGGATCTGTAGCGTAGAGGTAGGAAAGGAGAACCACAGCAAAATTAGATGGTTCGAACCTGGGCAGGGTCGGATATTTTTAATGAATTTTTTCGTGTACTAGTTAAAATGCGTCCGCTCTATAAATTGAGGCATGTTAATTGGTAAGTTTCTTTTTTTTCAAGATGACTGGTATGCTAATGCGTCATAATTGGCTTGCGTCACTTAGCAATTATGTAGACTCATAATTGGCGTGCGTCACTTAAGAAATTTTGTAGACTCAAAGTTTTACTCATTCAGTTTTTCCCTGTAGCATTATCGGTCATAATTTGGCCTCTATGTAATAATTTTGTTATATTCATATCTAACTGAAAATTTAACTGCTGTCTAAATGAACCAAAGGCAAAACCAAAAAAAAGTTGAAGAATGAGCAAACCATGTTGACCAAAATAATTAAATCGTTTATCACTCCATCGCTTGGTTCCTTACCAGTTCTCAACTCTTCATGACCTATATACTAAAAGTAAAGTTGCATGCATCATCGCAATATTTTGATTTCGAACGACACTGTTAGTAGCGAGATCTAGTCTTCGAGCAAAAACAAAACTTCAAAATTTTTTTTTTAAATGATTTCCATGAATTATCACATCACATCGGTAATTCACGCAGAGTAGGAAGTTTCAGTTGTGACTGTGCTATCCGCACTGATTGGTTTCAACATCCTTGATTTTCTCTCCTCTGCGAAATTACTTCTATCGGTCACATTATAATTATTATAACTACTGGTTAGTTTTGGAGGTGGGGGAGGTTTGTTGGGTGATTGTAGCATGGGTGACGAGGCCATTGATGATGCCATGTGGGGGCGTGGGAGGGGTGGCTTCTGGGCATTATTGAGGTTGTTCATCTGTTGGGCTTTGGCTTCTGTAATTTTGGTGACATTTAGTTGGGTTAATTCAGCCTGGAGAGCCTCAATTTCCACCTTGTTTTGTCTTCGGAGCTAAAAAAAATTACAGAAATATATTATTTTGATTTATTGAACTGCAAGATTAATGAGTTAATCCAGTTGAATTGGAAAGTAGAAGCGAAGGAACAGGTTAGATAGGTGCCAAATTTTAGAAAGGTTAGCTGCGATTATAGAAAATTTTAGGTCGAATTTGGTACGAACACTATAACAAAACCTTAACGACGAACCAAGATAATCCTCAAAAATCTGGATATGAATATGAACTATTTGCCAGTAAAACAGTAAAAATTAGTAGTTTAAAAAATACAGCTTTCGTGTCTTATCGTAATCATGCGAATAGTAAGCTGTCCGGTTAATAATCAACGAAGATTCAATTTCTGGTTAGACATGGTTAATTTTTAGTTATTTTTCTTCACATTTACATCACAGAGTCTCAATGGCTGCCCTCTGCAGCTCCCTCTGCATGCCTGCGTTGATCTTTTTCTGAGTCACTTCTGCCCGAAGAACTTTGAGTTCATTCTGAGCCTGCATTCTCAGCTAACCAAATCACACATCATTCCAGTGATATTAACGCGAATTCAAATTAACTCCAAGACCAAAAATCACTATCAGAATCTGATTTTTCAATATTTTTATTCGAGAAGGCATAAAAACATGCAATCTACTAAAGAAATCTATTCGGTTAGACAATAAGATGCCGGATAATTTTGTTTTACTTGCTTAAATATTTGTAACAATTTAGTCGTTTTTTTTCTCTTTGTAACTAGACTGACCTTGAGTTCTCCTGTGAGTCTCAGTTTGGCCTCCTCTACTCTCCACCTCAACTCAGAGATGTCATGAGTCAGTCTAGACAACACTATCTTATTTTGTACCTGAAAACAAAGTACTTTAGTTGAAGCTTGCAGCAGAACGAAAATTGGCAACATTGATCATTTTTAAAGTTTTGTCCCTTTCTTAGTACCGTGCGTGTTAAATTTTAGTTTAATGGTTGAACTTAGATGTTAAATGATCACGTTAAATCTCAGTAAAATTGAACCACGAGAAGATGACACTTCTCAGACAAAAAAAACATTTCTACTTGAGGGTAAAATTTTACTGAAATTTAGCATGATCAATGAACGAACTTCAAAGTTCAACGACTTTGTTTTCTGGCATTGATGTTTGCCAAAACACACAATGAAGTAAAACAAAAACTCGGAACAAACGACAACTTGCGTTAAAAAACAACTCGCGACAAAAAATCTTAAAGAGATTTTTTTTAAATACTTAATTAATGTTGCGAGATGTCTGTTTTCTTCCGACCACTGAAAGTGGGGAGGACCTTTGTGCTTAGGCGTTTTAATTTTTCTTCTTTTTATTTTCCGCGCAAAAGCAGGTTAAACTAATAGTTCTCAGAATGGTTTGAGCAATATATCATAATGAAGACCTTGCAGCCGTGATTTGATCCCTAATTACACAAGCCAAGCGTAGTGTGATAGTACGATGCATTTTTCCAGCCTAAATCGCAAATAAAATTGCTACTTTTGCTGACACTTTTGTCAATGGGATAATGCTAGTTATGGGGCGTTTTTAAAGCTCCAGACAGCATTGGCAGTATAATGCTATGTGCTTAGAAGTTTGATTAGTAACACGTTAACACAGTTGATACTTTTTTAATTCATTAATGAAACCAAAAAAAACTATACCATATAACTATATTATAATAATTTTTAAAAGTTTCAGAAATTGTCCAACTCAAAAAAAAATTGCGATATTTTTGAAATGCAAGTGTATTTACAGTTTGGTTTGACATTTTCCAAATTATTACATGCAAACAAGTGTGGTTTCCTTTAGATTACCACATTTCAAATTATTACATGGAATTTCTGACTTTATAAAATTAAAGCTCCTTTTTGCCGCTGGTCGTGTGATTTCTAATTGCCTCGCTGGCACAACTATGTAAGCAAGACGACTGGATTCAAAATTCACTTTTTTTGTTTTTTTAAAATCTTTTTAAAGCTATTTTTTGGTGTTTTTTTGCTGGTGCTCGCTAATTGCAACTTCGTTCTGTCTAAAAATTTATCAAAAAACTGCATTTTAAAGAAAACCGGTTAAATTTTTTTGATTTTTTGTCTAAATTCCAGCGAATAAAGCAAGCGAGCAGGCTTATGATACGCAAATAACAATTAACAAAGTTACTCCAGGAATATGAATTTTTGAAGCTTTTTAGTGTCTTTTGAAAGCACAAAAAATCCTTGAAAACCTTTTTAAAAAATTTTTGTAATTTTTGTTTTAGTTTTTTGATTAAACTTTTGATTTGCCAAACATGAGTACTCTAATTTTACTGTCGACTGCACTTTTTTCTAGGTTTTCGAACGGATCCGTTCATAGTCGAACGCAAAAAAAACATTACAATTTGCAATAAATATATATGTTTTGGTCGGAATTTTCTGGGCTACCTGCACACTTATGTGCTATCCTTCTTCCGAGTTGTCTTTTGTGGCGAGTTTTCAAATTACGACAAAACAGTTTGCGGGTAAACAACGCGCGTGCACTATGATTTGCAAGGTGTGTTCATGTAAGGGAACCATAAATTAACTAAGCATCAAAAGGGAACACCGGGTTAGTCCTTTGGGTTCTTGCTGCTTGAAAATTATGCAAATCCGCAGATGCTGTGAATGATAAACAAGCCCTTTGTGATTGTAACCCGAATTGTTCCTTTTTTGTGTGATTGTTTCGACAGGCTAATGCCTTTTTGATTTTCTCCCAAGCCGAACTAACTTGTAAACGTACAATTTCATCGAATCTATGGTTATAATTTTTGGCTTGAAAACAAAATTATCAGTTATTATTATTGGATTGACTGACTTGGCTGATGGTGTGTGGATCTTGGTTGCCATCCATCTCTTTCTCCAGTCGACTTATTTGTCTTCTGTTCAGGGTGTCCAGCTCCCTTCTCAACTTAGCCAGGTGATCATCCAAAGGCGACGTCTTCTTCTTCTCCTCGTAGTACTTCTTCTTCCAGAAGTCACGCGCTGCAATTCACAATTGAAAATTTACTCACGAGGGAAGATATCAAATACCTGTTGATCCACCAAATACGGTAAAAAAACTAACTATTTTGGTTCCATTGGGAGAATTCATTGCTTTCAAGTTGCAGCAAAGTTTGGATATTTTAAATAATTGGTTCAGTCAGTAACGGATTTACGGGGGTAGTTTAGAGTAGTAGTCTACAGCCATGCAAGATTATCTAGCATTTCATCTGTAAAACCAAATATCTTCCAAAAACTATATTCAAACAAACATTAGTCGTACTTCCGAGTCCTGTTTGAGCTGAAATGGAAAATGTTGAATATGATAAAATCAATGTTTCAATATTTTTGAAGATGAAAGCGTTAATTTCTTTTCTTTCACTAGTCAAATGGCTTCGAATCGTTGTTTAGTGATGTCAAAAGGTAAGTTTGTGTTTTATTATGAGAGATGTTGAGAGATTACCAGTTGCCCGTTTGCTCTGTGCTTTGAGCTGGAGGGACTTGGCCTTTTTGATGAGCTCTGCCCTGAACTCCTCCATCTCCTTCCGCTCCTCCCGAAGATTCTTCAGCTCCATCAGCCGGTGGTTCACTAAACAGATGGAAACAATTGTCTATTTAACTTTGTTTCATGCCTGGAGCCTGAAGAAATTTTATACTCTGTGCTTCTATGGTAGCTTGGCATGGGTTGTTTAACAGACGCCACCTAGCTGCAAACGAAGTGCAATAACTATCAGTGTGGTACAACTAAAATAGAAAATGATTTCTTGTGGGTACGGTAAATTTTTAATTCGCACAAATTTTTGGTTCTGACCACTAAAAGTGCGGCGGAACATCTTGTTTGGATATGTTGTAGTTTTTTTTTTTTACTTCTTGTACGTAAAACCAGGCGTCGCAAAGAATCATTGAGATGCGTCGAGTTATATATCACCCTGAAGCGCTGTCCATCGTGATTGATTCGACATTTGAAGTTCTCGAAATTTTGTCGAAAAAAAATGTTTTAAATTTTTTTGGTTTCAAGTCTAATTTGAAATGAGTAATGCAAAAAACTCTTTTTATGATTATTATTATTTTGAATTGGAATATTTTTTTAATTGCGGGAAACTATATTTTGAAAACTAAAATTTGTGAAAACTCTAATTTTGAGCCTGAAAAAAAATTGAAAAACAATTTTTTTTTAAAATAGATCGCTCACATGTTGTTTTTAATTCTGCAAAGATACTCGTTGTCTATCAAAATTACTTAACTTGTCAATAAAAATACAGAAACTTTGAAATCATATGCTCAATTCACGCACAAAAAAAACTTGCTCAAATGGAGAAAAAAAGAAGAGAAAGACTTAAATTCTTTTTCGGTAAACAAGCTACAATTGGGT